TCATTGCTTTAGTGATTTCTTAAACAGTCTAGGAGTTTGACAATTAAGGTAACCAGAGTCTCAGAAATCGTCTTTGGCTTAAACATTAAAACCTGTTACATGCAGTAATGTCAAATAATGCTGCTCTTCTCTTTATATTAGCAGTGTGGTGGAAGAGACCTTTCCAGAAAGTAGTTGATCTGATTTGATTAATTAAGCTTTAAATTAATTTCTCCTGATTTACTAATCCGGGGTTGAGACCCATACAAATTAGTATAAAGATTGTGTGAGAAAATGGGATAATATTCTCAGGGCTATCTTTTAGAACAGCAAGTCTCCTGAAGGGAACTTGATGTTGTCAGTTCTTCCACTCCAGAATTCTGATTATATTTCTTTTTGCCTGATCAAGAGCTTTGATCTGCTTTTGTCTGGGCTTGCTTTCTGCCCAGAATCATCTGTAAGGTATGACAAGATACAGCAGTAGTAATCCTGTTGGAGAAGGCAAGATTGTACAAAAAGCACCAGAATGCTACACTTATTTCCAGATAGTCTTCAATCCTTGATGTATGGTCTTCATTCATTTTCTTGCATGGATGCTGCAGAGGGTTCTGGGATGAGCACCTAGTAGTCTCTAGTAAGAAATATCCAAGCTATTCATGGGTGTATCTTGCATCACCTTTCTTATGTGGTTGATCATACACCTTTTAAAGTTACTGTACATGCTGAAGCAGGTATTCCAGGTTGTCAGGGTCTGGACTTAACTCAGGCTTCACCTTTGTTATCTTTGCCCTTCACAAATAGAGAATTCCTCAGTAAGATTGGAATCTTACAAATTTACAGTTTCTAAAGGGTCTATTTGTGACACAGTGTTAAAGGTGGGGACTTGCTCAGCACAGGTAAACATGTATGTAATTCAGGTATGTGTGTTCCAAGTACAGCTTTAACATTTTTGTGGTACCAATGTGGGTTTCAAAATTGACTTGGGGGATGTTCTGGCATGTTGAAAATGAGTGTGCAGTTGTGTGATTCAGTTGAAAGATTACTTTTTATTTTGTTTGTGCTGATAAATTGCATGAGTATGAATTCTATAGTTGGTTTATCTTTGGAGAATGAATAGAAATTCTGACATCCATAATTTTTCTCTTTGACATCTTAAAAGTTCAGACCTCTGATATACTCCTTCTGCTTTCTTCTCTGGTATATAATACAAAATCTGACCCTATAAGAATCAACAAAAATCTGCTTAAATTGGTCTCTTTGTATTTTGAAATTTGAGCATAAAGGGTATTTTTTTTAGGACAATATTCAGAATTACTAATACTTTACTTTGGTAAAGTTTTATATGAAGGAATTTTAAAATCTCTATTTATTAGACTAATGTTGCACTACATTTACATATGTTTTGCAGTTTTCAGGTGAGAAGTCAGAGATCAAATACATTTAGCTGGAGATTCTTCTGTTGTTCCCAGACAACTACAAATAAAATCAGTAGTGGAGTTGTTACTATCCAGGTTATTTCCCCACTTAAAAGACAAAGGGAGGTACTCAAATTACCACTGTTTTGAGAGTCGTGTAAGATCCTTTTGTTTAATATTGTACCAGTCATTCATTGATTTACAGCCGGAGCTGAGGGGGCTTTGGCCCCTTCAGTAGTATGGTTTAGTATAACGTGCATGTTCCAGGTCATGCACTGCAAGAGGGACCCTGTGGCTGCGCAGCATCCCAGTCCAGATCATAACTGTGTCTGGAATTGTAAGCTAACTTCAGTAGACACTGGTAGGTCTTGTAGTTGGTAATGCAGGTAATGTAGTATTTGTATTCAATGCTGCTTTGTTTCTGCATGAAAAGTTCATAGCCTTCCTATTTATTTTTTTTTTCTTCCATGTTTAAGGGCAAAACTTTATTTTACTTAATTGGGAGCAATAAGCATTGGTGACAATGTATTCTGAGTTGGGTTTTTTTCAGTAGCCTGATTTTTCAAAGATGCTGTCAAACATTAATATCTTTAAAGAATCAGTTCTTTTACAGGAGTGTTTCATTAAACATTGCATCTAGATTGTTGATTGAAGAGCTCTGTTTCACAAAATTTGGTGAACATTAAAGGCTATCTGCTTTTTCTTCACAAAATATGTTACAAAGCATACTTTCTTATCATTGGCATGCTAAAATGTGTACTTGAATTGTAGTTTTAGTTTGCTCAAATATTACACTGCAGTTTTAAATTAGAAGCTGGATAGTATTTAATCTTCCTAATAAGTAAGTCTCTCTTCCACTTAATTTGTGCTTTTGTTGCGGCTAACAAATAATTTGCTGTATGGGTTTTTCTGTGCACCATTGATAGAATATATAAGCTTGTCATCCTAGTGTGCTGGAAATGCTACACTCAAATCAAGTGTTCCTTTCTGGTTTTGTATATCCTCACCTGCTCCTCACTGTAAATCATTGAGATGTCAAGAGCAGTGATTAATTAAGCTGCACGTGCAAGTGCTTTTTTTTTCACCTGTCAAGTAGGAAGAAAACTTACTATAGTGAATTGTGTGATGCTGCTTGATTCATTTCTTTTTATCCCAAGCTCTGAGGTTCGCAGAAATATTTTATAGTCTAATTTTCGTTAACGTTTATTTCTGTATTGGTAGTGTGACATGATTTGGGAGCTATGACTGTCCCAAATTATACCTCAGGAAGGATTCTATTTAAAGCTCTGGGAACCTAAATAATTGTATTCTTGAAGCTGCATGTGCTTTTATCTCACACTATTCAAATTACTTTAAACTGGCTTCTTATTTAAACAAACCAATTAATAGTACATAACTACCTATCAATTTCTTATTTATGTGTATGTATTGTAATATATATGTAATTTTATTGGAATCTGAAAAGCTTGGATGTTTTTCACACTCTTTGGGGCAAACAATGAAATTAAATTATATAGTGATCTTAATCTATTATTAAAAGGTTCTGGAAAGGAAGATTACAAGGTAGATTCAGGTTTTGAATCAGTTTTGCCATTGGTTTAGCAGCGGGTGGGCAGGCAGATGCCTGCTCAGAGTAGAACCTATTGCCATTTTTCACCATTGATAGAGTAGCCTTTCAGAGTCAATGAGCTCTGTCAATGTGAGCTTGTCAAGGCTACAACTTCATAGACCTGAGAGGCGGTTTGAGAGGTCAGCCCTTTTCAGGTTTGCTGTGATGCAAATGAACTTTAATGCTTAAACAACTATTGGAATTTTTATGTCTGCTCCTTGTTCTTTTTTCTTCACAAAGTCATTGACGAGACATTCAGTGCTTTTTAAATTGGAAGTTGCATTGTGCTAAAGACCTAGTACAGATTTACGGAGGGCTGAAAGCAGTTAGATCATGTTCTTTTCATGGTGCGATTAGAATCAAATCGATTTCCCTACAGCCTTCAGCATTCAGATGGCAATTTTAACAAAGCTTGGGGGCTAGACAAGGGACAAAACGACTGAACTGAATGTTAATTACACTCTGCAGCCTTATTTTCTTTTGATTTGGAGCTGACTGGCAACTAAATTAACAAAAGTGTGACCATAACTGCTGCCCTATTTTCATTTAAAAGGAGAGCAGACTCTAAAAGGCTATCTTTACAAAGAAACAAGTGAGGTCTACTGATTATTGTTAAAGGGCACTGTCTTTAAAAACATAATAATAACAATAACCCCCAAAATACTCAATCCCCAATTGATGTGATGAATTAGTCACTAGCACATCCACCTTGTGATAATTCCTTGACTTGTGCTTTTTAAAATAAAACATAATAAAAATTCAGTGTAATGATTACTCATAGGTAGCAATGATCTAATTTTGAATCATGTGACCACAGTACATGCTTAGATATGCTTCCCCACAACGCTTTGGTATTAAACTAGAGAGAAACTGATGTTTGAGAACCAAGGTGCTAATATTTAGTGTGAAATGAGTAATTTGTTGTCTGAGTTTTATTTTACCCAGACATCCTTGTTTCTCATGACAGCATTTAGTTTGATTTGTTAAGGTTCATTTACAGTACTTGTATTTTGTACTAATAACAGCAAGATGCTTTCTCATCCCTTCCCCTCACCCCTCTCTGCCTTGTAAGGAAGCTGCAGCTGCACTAAGTTGTATTTGATCCTTGTCATTGCTCTGTCCTTTTGCACCTGCAGCTCTGTTGGTCTCATCTTAACACCTGGCACCATGAATTATCCTCTTTTTATTCATAGCCAGTAGCAAATCCCATTTAGAGCTAAGCAGTATATATTCTGGCAGTCAAATGACCATAAATGTCAGTATGTATTTCTTAAATGTAAATATAACTGAATAATTATATTCAAAATACTGTGAAACTTTGCAGCACAGAATGTCCTTTTGATACTGCATAATCTTAAAAAGCTCTGCAAACAGCTTTAAGGATTCTTTATATGAAGTGTCAAGTGTGGGCAACATAGGCAGTAAAACTTTGCTTTAGAATCCTAAATACTGGGTTCACTCTTTATACAACGCACAGATATAGTAATAGTTGTTTGTGTAATTTACTGGAACTTTCTGCATTTGGTTTTCAGTCTCTAAAATCTGGATATAAAAGTCACAAAAAAAATCTCTTTTGTTTAGGGTATTGCATGTTTGTACTTGACCTACAGCATTGCAAAATAGTTGGCAACATTTGTCAGTTTAGATACCAACCTTCTCAAAAGCGGTGCATTTAGACCACTGATACTAGGGGAGCAGTGTTCCTGCTTTTATACTTACATCACTTCATAATTTCTGTGATTTTAAAGTTGTAACTGCTGTAAAAACCAGAAAGCATATACATATGAACAGCTGTTCCAAAATATTTGAAGATAGTTATTTGGGTGTTGTAAAAAGTTGTTCTAGTTACTGTTTAATACCAGAGAAGTTTTGATAGTACTACAGACCACCCTGTACTCAGTCACTGTCCTGTACCTCTCTTTCACACAAAAGCAGCTGCATAACAAAGTTTTTCTAAAACCAGTCAAGAGTAAAATTCTTTCTCATTTGTCTTCCAGACACGAAGATCGATTGAGAAGTTATTAGAATGGGAAAACAATAGGTTATACCACAAGGTGAGTGCCGCAGGGAGCAGCTTCGTACTGTTGGAGTTTGAATTGCACAGTATGGAAACAGATGCTTTTGTTGAACGAAAAATATGAAAGGTGGACAAATGGGCTAGTCTGTGTGCTGCAATAAAATACAGCTCATTTTTCTTCTTTTTCTTTCCTCCTTGTCTAGCTGTGCTTGCATTGGAGACTAAGCAAAAGGAAATGTGAAACGAATAACATGATGGAATATGTAAGTTAAAGGGCTGTTTTGTGAGTTTCTCTATTAAATGATCATTTATTTTGCTTCTGATCTTATTCTTTTCGTGATTATTAATCAGTAAAGGTGTCAGGAGCTTAATCGCCTGAGTGCAAGGATTTTCTACGGTTCACAGATGCATGGTTTCATGTGCAGGACTGATTTATAAAGTTATGAATGACTTGAAAACAAGGCTTCACTGTGTTCTGAAAAATAATAAATTAATTGCCAAGATAAAATAGCTTGAACATGTGCTGATGGAGTGTGAAATTTTAGATGCTGTATAAAGAATAACCACAACTTTGGTTACGCAGCAAGTCAGATATGGCTGTTTTATATAATGCTAATCAAGTCTAAAAGTATGGAAGAAGACCTTTCAACTAAGCTGTTGGAGCTTAAGAAACTTTTAGCCTTTTTAAATTTTAACTGCCCCTTACCTCAACTGTCTTGAAAGTATCTTTATCTCTAAGCTGTGTCACTAAAATATTTTTAAATTAGTCTCTGGAGGTTTAATTTACTCCAGTCTTTGGCTGAAACTCCATAAGCACATCTTGGAAATATACAGTGAGAATATACTGTTTAAAATGAATGATGTCCAATGTGGGATTTCAGTTTGTTTAGCTTGCAACCTTATTTCTCTTTTTTGGTGCTGCTTTTATTTCAGTTTTCAGAATATCTTGGCGGTACATAGAATAAGATGAAATTAAGCTGCTAAAATGTGAGAAGCATCAGAATTTGCATACTTTTTTAATGCTCTAGGAAGCAGGTGATAGGAAGGGTTAACCTGTTAAAAAGAAAGATTATTATTTGAGAAATGTCTACTGTATTAGTTCTAACGTATCTGTGGTCTTTATCATGCATATAAAAATTTTAAAAGTGATTAAGCAGTTGGAAAAGGTATTAAAAGAATAATTTTCTTTTAGTATTCCTCCTTTTCCTGTTTGTAAATTAGATCTTGTTTCTAGCCTGTAACATAAGATCTTTAAAGTGCTTTCTCACAGAATGACTCTATAAGTAGATTTTTTTTGTACCATCTATTCTACAATTCTGTTGTTGTTTAGATCTAAGAGATGTGGCTGAAAATGGAATAAGGCAAATTTCAGAAAGTATATTTGAACTTTACCTAAATGAAGTGTTTCGAGTTGTTTTTTTTTTATTTCACTGAAAATTTCATTTTCCTACAGGAAGACATTGTCACATCCAATGTTTTGCAGATTCAATTGAAAAAGACATGTACAGTGCTAATTTGTAAACGCTATAGCCCAGCAACCTTTACGGATGAATATTAATTCTGTTAAATACAATTTAAAATAAGTTTTGCACGACCTGTTTACATTAATATGTAGTCATAAGCATGTAGTTTCACAGGCTAAAGATGAAGATTTTATTTTCAATTTGGGAAATGTTTAATATGTTATCTCCAGACATATATAAAGAGAGAATTTTTACAAAACCTCTCTACCATTTTTTCATTTTCAGGGAACTGATTTGCTGGTCTCTTGTCCCTAATGTTATGTTTATGATTTAATTTTAAATAATATATATCCTTTTTTCCAAAGCAGATTATTTAAATTAGATTCTTGTACCCAAAACTTGGTGCTTTTCCAGCTTGAAGTTCAAAATCCACTGCTGAAGATGCTAAATTAAATAAATAATTAAATAGACAGAACCACAATAGCCTTACATCTTTGGCATAAACACAGAGTTCCAGCTTTGGGTCTTTGCTTCCTTTTTGAAACCCTGTCTTGAGTATCAGTAGCCCTGGAATTCGAAGCATTCACTGGTTGACTCGTGTCAGGGCTCAGTGGATTTTGAGCAGTTTACATCACTTCCGCATATAAGTCACTTGTGAATATCTCTTAAAACTAAATTTATACATCTGATTTTGATATGTCTAAGGCAAACAGATTCAAAATAATAAAATCAGAGACTTCTGATGTTCAACATGCTATCAGAGATAAAGTGGTTACTCTCTAAGCAGCCAAGTTGTGTTCTCATTTACAATCAAAAACGTTTAGAATTATTTTTTTTTTAACTTCTTAGAAAGGCAAGCTCCCCTAAAAGTAAATAAAATCCTTAGTTCTGTTACTGGGTGCGTTTATTTGTTTATGAATACAATCATGCTGCTGTGTAATGACTGTTATTTCTGAAGAAAGTGCACAAGTGAGTATTTCCCTTAAGCTTTCTGTTTAAAGTAGGATGAATGCTTGGATTGTATTCTGGAGTGTACAGTACCATGTGTTCGTAGCTCAGAAACACCTGGTTTAAATTTAAATAGGGGCCATAAGAATAATCATGCAAAAGCATTAGTCAGGTTTCTTGTTAACTACTTGCAGATTCGTTAGATATGGGAACTTTGCAAAGGTTGATACACCTTTCTATCTGTACAAGTTTTGAATGTTAAATATAATTCAGAATACTCAAGTGGAAAAAAAATTAAGTAAAGGGAATTGAATATGTAATTTAAAAATAACTTTGCATACATTGCACCTTCTGATTTCTTTAATAAATGTTTATCTCTTTCATAATTTTTTCCTAATAAAGTAAATGAATTATAACAAAGAATAATTATGAAATAGCGTATTTCAGTTTGTTTAGATGTTAGGTGTTGGTAGGCAAACCTTTCCAGTTGAATTTAAGTGATCTCTGATCATCATTATAACTTGATGTACTTGGGGAAAAAAAAGGCTTATGAATTATCATTATGATAGATAATCAGATTGCTGCCATCTTCCATCTAATACATGTTTTTTTTTTTTCTTTTTATACAGGTCATCCTTATAGAATTTTTACCAAAGACACCGATTTTTCGACCAGATTAACATTTGATTTATTTATAGAGACTTATTCAAGTATGTTGTTTTTCCAATGGTGCCTTGCTTGGTGCTCTCCTGGTGGTAACATAGATTGGTTCTACAGAATCTTGTGGTGTTGTCATTCTTTTTTGTTTGTTTTGTTGGGTTTATTTTTTTCAGTAAGAGCATGTTCCAAGTGCATTTGGTCAAACTCTGCAAAGGAATTTCACACAAATGTTAACTGCTACTTAAGTTATTGTTACTTTTACTACTTCTGTTTATTAGTATATCTTGATTTTCAAAGAGTCTTTTATATGTGTGCGCGTGCGTGTGTACATATATATATATATATAACTAAATACACAGCTGAAAATGGTATACAAGCGAGCAGGTATTTTTTTATCCCAAAATGACACAACTGATTGACTGTACATTATGTAAGTCCTTTTAATCATTCATTTACATGCTGAAATACCTTCCGAGATCTTCCTAAGCTTTTGTCAGGGACTAGTCAATTGTAAATATTTTTATTTGTTTTTGGGATATTGGCTACCCTCTTCCAACAAAAGAAGGAGATAAAGTTCTTTTTGAAACTGTGCTTTTTGGAACCCAGATGTCATTGCATTAGTAGAAATCTCTGTGCTTTTCATGAAGAAGTCTAGTCAGCTGGTTCTGAAAAAGTTCTAATTTAAAGGTTTTTTGGTTTTTGTTTTTTTTTTTAAAAAAACCCCAACAAACTAGAATTATTTCACTCAGACTAGAAGAATTGCTGAGAGACTTGCATGCATCTGATTAGTAGAACTCAAGATCACAAAAGCATATTGTTATTACAATTTATAATGTAGCTGTTTTAATTCAAGGTAATGCCATGTATCAGCTTTGTTCTAACTGTTTACCAGATCCTGTGCACAGAGGTGGAGGATGACTTGTTTTACTAGAAAATATCGTCCAAGAGGACCTTTCAGGATTTTTATTTTTGTTTGTTTTGAAGCCACATAAATGGAAAAGATTATTGAAGAAATCTTGAATACTGTTCCAGATGCAAATGCAGATGCCATGTATTAAAAATAATCAAAGCAGGGTACACTGGGCAACAGTGAAAAGTTTTAATGTGTTAGATAATTATTTATTGCACCCTTGCTTCTGCTTATTTTGGTTTACAAGTATTATTTTCTGCATAAGTGTAAGACTTTTTTTTTTAACTGGATATATGATGTATGCTTGGGTCAGGCCAGTTGTATTTTCATTTCTTGTATCTTAGTTGTACATATCTTCACATATAGTTTTTTTTTAATTGCAACTCAATCATGTTTTTTAATTTCCTTTAGGTATCTAAAATTACTGTATGTGAACATTAATGTAAGTTAAGATGTTCCTTGTACAGTTGTGGTAGCAAGCAATAATGTGAATATACGAAAAAAACAAATATACCCTGCTTAATATTTGTATGAATGAAAAGTTGATACCACTACAAGAATAGTCTTCTCTTTTTAATCTTTTAAATACAAGTTTTATTTCAAGGTAATATATTACAAATACCTTGATGCTGTGAACTATTTTTCTATGTCTTCAAAATATTTATTCTCTGTAAAATATTATCTAGTGAGTATTATATTCCTGAATTGTTGATAGTGGGAGTGGTCTAGAAAGTTACAAGTTTCCTTAAATCTAAATCTTCTGTATCTCTTCCCAAACCTCATCCTTTGCTCAGCTTTTGTCTGTGGATTCCTACTGTTTACTTTGAAAATAGCTCAGCTATGCTTTTCATACAAGCCTACACAAGTGTGTTTGACTTGATGGAATATGATTTTTAATTAACAGATTGCAGTTTTGTGCTGCCTCAGTCTTCTGCATCCCACAACAGTTTCTCTCCAAAGTAACTGGTTATAGTGTTTTAAAACTCAATTTCAGCCTCTTCTTTAGTACAAATCTAGGTCTGCATCACTCCTCCTCTCACTCAGAAATAATAGGTACAATCTCAGACCAGTTTCAGCCCGCAACAGGGGCCAGAAGCCTGACACTGATGGCTGTGCAGGTTGGAGGTGCAGGGGAGAGGTTGGAATTGAACAGAAATGGTAACTGGTGATAAATACCGATGACCAGAAATACATGTTGATTTCTTCAAGTATCAGTTTTCAATAAAGTAAATATTGAATTATACAAGGCCTAAATTTTATTATGAAAGTTCTCAGTTGGCTGTATAGAAAGGTTTGTGTCATGGATGCAGTTTTCCACTGATAGTTCATTGGTGTGGAGGGATATGGCTTGTGCTATGCTCATACCAGCGCTGTATTCAGTGTGAGCTATTCGCCTGTTTACTACCCAAGTTTGCCATAATACATTCTGTGACACCACCACTACCTTTCCAGCAGTATCCCAAAATGACCTACAGTAAAGCTGATTTGAGTGTGATGTGTACTGAAACCCCAGCAGTGAACAGCGTGCGGCTTTCTGGTTTACAAAGTGTTTCCTTTGTAAAGCTCCTACATGAGCAGTAGTGCTGGTTAAGATCTTGTCTACTTTTGGGTGCATCTGCAGTCATCTACTCGGTTACCAGGCATGTCTGTATTTTAACTATGACTGTCTCTAAGAATTCTAATATAGTGGGCCAGAGTAGAGCTCTGAGCAAGTAAAGTTAAATCCCTTAGTAAGGAGGCCAGAGTGATTGCCTCTTACAGCATTTCTGATATTTTATTAAGACAATGTCTCTGACTTAAAATACAATCAGGAAACTTGAGAAACTGCGAGCATATACAGATGAGTTTTGTTCTAAAGTGTTAACTCTCCTGATGAGAAAGTACACTCACCTAGTAAGAATGTTAGAGGACATTTTCATACAGTCCCTTTCTATTAATTAATTACAGTGATGGAAATTAAACTGGCAGGAATTTAAATCAACTATTTAATTCCTGCAGCAGTCATCAGGATTTTTCTTTGATGTTGTTTCTAAAATACTGTATGGGTTTTGTGTGCAATGGAGAAGAAATGTGTTACCTCTTTTTTGTCCAATTGGCAAAGAATAAAGTTGCAACAGTTTGAGCAGACAGAAGCTATTAGGATTTCCGGGACACAGCCTGTAACATAACATTGTAAGAACTTGCTCAGCTTCTTGCAATTTGTTAATTCCTACAAATAATCTTATTTCCAGTTTCCCTGAATAGTAAGAGTTAGGTACCCACTTGGTATTAATTGTTTAACAGATTATGCTAATTATGTCTGTTTCACCTTTATCCTGAAAAACTAATGATAAAGGTGTCAGTGACTCCCTGTGAAAACTAATTATTATTTTTAGGTATGATGGCTTTTAACTGGCCAATAAAGATTTCTTTCTTACTGTAATATAATAGAACTAAATTATTTTTTATCTTTTAGTGGTAGGTAGGAACAGGTCCTGAGGGAGAAAGGCTTTCTGTCTGACCCTACATGAAGAATTCTTTAGAGCTCATCTATTGTTAAATAGCTATGATTTGAAGTTTGGGATTGGCAAACTTCACCAGAAATTAAGATATTTATGGAGATAAGTTACATGAAGTAAGTACATTTTTTGTAATAGCTCAGTAAGAATCATCTTAATAAACTACATATGCAAATCCAAAACTTCCTGCAGTACTCAAAACCAGGTAGATTGTAAAAACTTTTTACAGTACTTAGATATAGATTGTAATATTTAAATCAATTTGTTAAATGATACCTTTTTGTAAATCTCAAGACAACAATGTTTAAATGTAATGCTCTATCTCGGAGATAATATAAATAATTTAGCCCTGAAGATTGTAGGGAAGAGCTTTAAAATACAATCTGCAACTGCTCAGAAGCCAGAAGGCAAAAATAAAAAAAAACAACTTGTCTTTATTCCCTTCCGTCCACCCCCCACCCCAAAGTCTCTATTTTAAATCAGTCCCCTTGTTTTGGGAGCCCTAGCTTATGGTTTTTGAGCAGTTGGCAATAATACAAATTGTTCACCAAAAAAAAACTATTTGAATTCTGAACAGTTTAAAGAGATCACTTTAATTGAAAAGGCAAAATACTTGTTAGGCAAAGAAAATCGCTGGTTCTTTTGGGTTTTCCCAGCACTGCTGTTGAGTAATTAAAAAGAAGGATCGTGATGATCCTACATTAGGTCAAAATCCAGATGATTTAATGTAAAGGAAATGCTCAGTTAGAGAGGTCTTGGGGCCCAAAATGGCTTGAATTCATAGTAGCAACTTATTAAGGGTAAGTGGCCCTGGCTAGTTTTGTATCTGTGACTAAATTCATTTATGTTACTCTTCAGCAACCTTGCTTATGAAAAGAAAACATTTTAGAAGATATGTATTCATCACCACTTGTTTGCTGTAATTTCTGTGCTGCTTCTCCCTGAAGCCAAGTTGCATTTCCATCACAAACAGTTAAGTGTATGATCGTTATAATGTCTTTAATAGCCATATTGTAGGTAGAAATACTAACTTCTCAGGGACTAATAGGAAATAGGAAAATGGAGAAATAGGAGTTAATGAGCTGAATGCCTATCTGCATGAAGGCTTACTTTGCAAACAGCACCCTAGAAACCTTCTGATTGTAATATGCATGACCATTATGAATGTTATCAATATAAAGCTATGAAAGCTTCCTTTACCCTGTATTATTAGGCTGCTGAATATCAAAGTATGTTGGATAAGGATAAATGAAGTTTTTCTTTTTTTCATGATTTGGATAGAGTGATTATTTCTGATGGTGCTACCTTCTTAATTCCTGTATTTATTCTTTGTAAAGTTCTCTCTGTAGGCTGGGTGAATCAGGGAATAATGGTGTAATGAGAAAACAGCATCATTCCTTTTCTTAAGGAGTTGGAAAAACTTCAAGGGGACAGGTATCTTAGAAGCAAAAAAAATTCTCTACTGAAAATACCATGCATTTATTCTCCATTAGTTACAGAAATCCTTTTGGGTTGTTTTGTTGGTAACAGTATTTTGCAATTGATTAATTTTTGAACTTGATCTTTTTGCACATTGACGTTTCAGTCAGCGTGCCCTGAGTTAGAGACTGCGTTTGAAAACTGAGAAAAATCCCAACCCTGAATCTTTACAGGAAACTTCATGTATTGACACTTGTGCTGGTGTGTGTATGTCCACCACATGACACCCGAGTGATACATCTTTTATAAACTCCATTTCATTGTTTCATGGAAGACATCCTTTTAAAAATTCTTCTGCTTAGTTTACCTTGTTAATACTAAGATTTATTTTCTTGGAAAAAGAAAATGCTTGACTCCTCAGAATACAACAGACCATTAGTGAGGTAAAAGATGAAACAGGAATTAGGAGAAGCAATACCCAAAAGATTGAGTTTGGAGGTTACGTTTGGAATT